GGAGGGGGCGGGAGGGGGGCTGGGGTGGGGGGCAAGGGTGAGGGGTGTAGGGGGAGGGTTAGGGGGGTAGGAACCCTCGTTTTTACAAACGGAGCATCGTAGGTACCCCAAACGAACTGGTGTAAGCAAATGACACCAGTAGCACTGGTGTCATTCTAGACGTACCGATATATATATATATATATATATACATACATACATATATATACACACACACACATGTATACACATATATCTATACACACACACACACACACATATATATACACACACACATACACACATACATACATATATATGTGTGTGTGTGTATATATATATATATATATATATATATATATATATATATATATATATATATGCAACCCATGAGTTCAGGGGACATAGTATCTATCAATCCTTGTTCCTATTACACCTTGAGTGTAGATTGTGTTCTCACATTTTTTTGACCTGTTTTCTTGCCTTCAATTTGTGTGGTTTAGAAAACGAGCAAAAGGGTACATTTCGTAAGGAACCTTATCAGAGAGGTTGCTGGATTTGCTCCCTATGAAAAGAGGATATCTGAGCTTCTGAAAGTTGGCAAGGATAAGCGTGCTCTTAAGGTTGCCAAGAGGAAGCTCGGCACTCACAAGAGGGCCAAGAGAAAGAGAGAGGAGATGTCAAAAGTTCTCCGCAAAATGAGGTAATATTATTGGCTCATTTACATTCATTTCATCTAGGGCTGTTTTGGTACAATAATAATAATTTGCATTCTTGGTTAATATGATATCACTGAGTTGTTCATTATTAACTATGTTTTCGAAGTATAATAGTTGTCCATGTTCAAGAAAACACGTTCATCTGAAAAACAAAGGACCTTTATTGATGCAGAAAAATTAACATTTGGTAATGACCATCAATTTACCTGATAACTTTTTTCTTTTTGTGTACAGGGCTGGTGGAGGTGGTGAAAAGAAGTGATCTCTGATATAAGGATCATTTTTTTTCTTCAAGAATTTGCCATTGTATTCTGTTCTTGAGTTTTATGTTGACTTCAGAAGCTTTCTTTTTTGATAAATATTACCATGCGAGTACTTGTATTAGTGTGGTTTTGAACACCTTCATGCATTTTTGGCATTGTTACTCTTCAAATCTATTTTCGTGGCAAATGACTAAAATTGAATTAGAAGCCTTCACTGGGAACAATGTTTTCAAATAATGTTTTTGAGTAGATTTTTAATAGCTAGGATTAACTTTTTTCAAAATGTTTTTTTTCTATTTAAAATTTTTAACCGCATTATAGAGAATGGTTCAAAATGTTTTGTTTTGTAAACGTATGTTTCAAAATGTTTTGTATCTATGTAAAAACAATTTTTTTTGAATTGTATTGTTACCGCATATTTTGAAGTGTACTGTTTCAAGAGATTCAGTGTTAAGACAACTTCGGTAGTCGGTTAGAATGTTGCTGCCAGCACTGAATTCTCGTTCAACTGCTACGGTTGATACTTGGATGGACAACACTTGTCTTGCTAGCATGCCGAGACATGGGAACATGTGTTCGTTCCGCTTCCACCATCCGAGCATGTCAAAATTGACATCGTCGTCATCGTAATCGCATGGCACACCTTGGTACATAGCAAGTTCGTTGTGCGAGCTTACTGTTGTACCACTTGAACTCGTTGAAGACTGGGCACGTTTCCCTTTCTTTGCAAGAAGGCCAGCGATTATGCCGGCAAAACCTTTTTTTGATTTCGAGTGCGGAGGTGGTGCTGTTTCTTCTTGTACAGTTCCGTATAACCCTTGATATTCCTTAAACAAATCTTCAAAAAGAGTTAGCATATCTCTTTCATTTTTCCATTCTACTAAATAGCTCTAGTAATAACTATTTTTATCTAAAAAACAACTATAGTAATACTCAATTAGAATTTTAAAATTTTCAATCTTAAATCGTGGATCACAAATAATACCTATTTTATAAATATCAGGAATGTGCAAATAATAAGTACACCATTTATCTCTCATAGGAGAGACATAAGGGTACAAATCTGGATCAGCCATACTTTCACGAAAACATGTTGCGATTGTAATGCATTCTTTAAAAAATGTATTTGTAGTTGGTTGGTAAACATGAGAAAAAGTAAGAATTGCGTTATTAAAAACTTCTAATACGGCATTCAATTTTTCAACAATAACAAATTCAAAAGGATTAATGATTATACGAAGTTCATCTCTAAAAAATTCAGCAAGTTCCTCTTTATATCTTAGGGTCTGTGCAATCAATTTGTAAGTACTATTCCATCTAATTTGATATCTCTCGCAAAACTTTTTTCTTTTTTACCCTTAGACTTACAGAACATCTTCCAGGATCTCGAAATAAGACGAGCCTCCCAAATTTTTTTAATTCCTTCTTTAATATTTTTCAAAACTCCGCCCATAGCTTGTAGTCTCTGTTGAACACATAAATTTAAAACATGACAGGCACACCGTTGATGCAGAAATCTACTCATAGTCGTAGACGGTGGGCAAATTTCTCTAAGTGTAGGAATAGCAGCAGTATTATTAGTAGCAATATCAAAACCAAATGAAAAAACTTTTTCAGATAAGTTATATTCCCGCAGAATACTTTGAAGCAATAGGAAAATATTTTCAACAGTATGCTGATCATTGAAATCACGAAATGCAAGAACACGTTTATGCATAATCCAATCACTATCTATCCAATGACAAGTAACACCCATATAAGACAAATTATGATAAGTTTCACCCCAAATATCAGAACAAATAGCAACACGAGAATTAAAATTGAGAAAAAAATTTTCCAAATTAATTTTTTCCATTTTATACTGGCGAATAATTTCTCGTTTAATTGTTTTTCTTGAAAAACCTCGTGCTTGAGGGTTTAATGCCTGTTGACAATAATCAATAAAACCAAGTTTTTCAGAAAACATGTATGGCAAATTTTCTTCACAAATCATTTCGGCCATTTTTTGCCTATTTTGCTCGTCGCTATAAGCAAAAAGGCCGCCCTTACCTCTGTTAGCAAACCGAGAAATTTGGGTTTGCACTTCTTGTCATCCCTTTTTTTTGGCCTCGTATTTGGCGTACTCCACGTGATGCCTCGACCTTAGGTGTTTTTCCGGACCGCCATAACCGCCAGAAACTCCCATTTTTATGACGGTCCCGCAATGTTTACAAGTTCCATAAACTATGCCATCTTTTGTGTCTTTGTCAAAATGATAAACAAATAATTCCGATTTATATTTTTTTTTACCTTTGTCCGGACCTCGATAGGTCTCGGGCTCACCTGCCTCCACGTCGACGTCGTTGCTTTGCGGTGTAGGCTCATCGTCCCCGTCAAGATTATCCAGTCCTGCTTCATCAACATCCTCGAATAGACTATCAAGAGTGGGGAGATTCGCGTCTCCTCTACCAGAATAAATCTGGTTGAATTTTTCATCCGTCATAGCGTCCCCGATTAAATGATCTAGGACAGTAGGAAACGAAGAGACGGAGTGTCTTCCTCGAGAACCGTGTCCGCGTGAGGTCGAACCGTCGGAGGTGGCTTTAGCTTTGCCTTTACTCAATCTTCGATTGACGTCGCTCATATCCACGGACCGTCTACCGGACTCCCTCGACATTTTAAAAAAATTTCGAAATTTTATATATTAAAATTTCGAAAATTTCAAAAAATAAAGAATATATTTAAATTATTTAAAGATTAAAGAATATATTTAAAAATTAATACTCCCTCCGTCCCTCTAAGATCTTCTCGTTTTGACTTTTTGCGGTTTTTTAGGAGAGTTGAAAAAAGGTAAAAGTTTACCATAATACCCTTAATAAAAATGGGTGGAGTGTACTAAATGAGGTAGGTGAGATGTAATAAATAAAGTAAGTGGGGGTAGTTGTGGTATTTTAAGTGTTAAAAAAGGTAATGAGAAGATCTATGGTGGACAAATAAAAAGGGCTAATGAGAAGATCTATGGAGGACGGAGGGAGTAATATTTAAAATTTTGAAAAATTTGAAAAAATTTCGAAATTTTATATATTAAAATTTTGAAAATTTCAAAATTTTAATGTATAAAATTTTTATATTATTATATGAATATCAAATGTATAAAAATTAAATAGAGATAATAAGATTGAGAGATTGATAAATTGAGAGAATGAGAGATGGATTGAGAAATTGAGTGATTTTTTATGTAAAAAATGAGAGAATTTATAGATAAATCCTCCCCCCCTCCCCCCTCCCCCCTCTCCTCTTCCCCTCCCCCACCTCAACGGCTAAATAGCCGTTTGAGGTGTGCCCCCACTTTTTTTTTAACTTTTTGTAAGATTTGAAATGAACAAAAAAAAAAATTAACCGGTACCGGAACCGGACCGGTACCGCCGGTACCGGTACCAAAAAATAGGTACCGGAACCGGTACCGAAATGTGCGGTACCGGTACCGGTTCCCGGAACCGGTGACACGGCGACGACGACGGTGACGGTGACGGTGGCAGGTACCGGCGGTACCGTTGCCGGTGACGGTACCGTACCGGTACCGTGTCCACCCCTAATGACATGTCTATATTTCAGTAAACACTCAAAAATTGACATTATGAAATACTTTGTATCAAAACTTATATTTTGTCGCGCTCATTGAATATGTTAATGATTTTGCAAATGATCCAATAAATAAACATTTTAACATGATAATGATTTTAGCTAATGTGTAATTGCAAATGAATATGTTAAAATGTTACTATTACATTAACACATTGAAAATAAAGTAAGTTTTATAAATAGTTTTTGTTGTTGATATACATACGAGTGTTTTTCATATAAGTTATCTTGAAATTTCAATATACTTTTGTGATATTAAGAAATCATTTTATGATAAGTCATTTAAATTCAAATATTATTTTTCAGTCTACAAAAAATTAATTATTCCGTATAAAATAGTTTTCAAATATAAAAGACTACAAATATAATACTCCGTATTTTAAAATTAAGAACTAGATATAAAATATAAAAACTTTATGTACTAAATAAACTTACTCTTAATCATTAAAACTTAAGCATCATTAAACTTTTTTTTTTTGAGGAAATAAAGCTCATGGAATAACAAAGTCGGGAGGGGCATAATCCCAATCATCGAAATGGAATCCGCCCGTCTAGCTAAAATATGATCAACACCATTCAACTCACAACGAACATGAGAAATACAAACCTGCAAAGAAAGAGTGAGCTCTCACTCTTCAATAATCAAATCAAAATATGAGTTACCATAACTAGCTTGGCCAGTGGCCTTCAGCCCTTCACAACCAAAGAACATTGAGCTTAATTATATTCTACCCACTTAAATTATCATTAGTAGTTTTGTACTCATTCCACTATCAACTAAAAGGGAGAATCAAAATGGAGAATCATTTTTTTTAATTTTTTTGACAACAACCCTAGCAAACTGTATAGCAACATTTTGAACACGTTGGTTCACAAGAAGAAACTTGATGTAGAGGGATGTGTGAAGAATATTCTGTGGAATGTAAAAACATTTACGTTTCCAAAAATAGAGGGGAAAGTGAAATAGCGTTTTGATTGTAATTTGTACAGATACTTTGTGATTTTAATGGAAGTGTGCATTTTGTTTCAAAAAAAAACATTTTGAACACTTTTAGAAACCCATACTTGATAGCCATTTTAAGCGAGCCAAACAAGTTTAAATGGACTCCAATTACCAAGACAATTAAAATAACAACTTGACCTCAAATTTCTAGAAATGAAGAGAATAGCGAAAGTGCGAAAGTAGAAAATCTTATTTACAAAATACTTTTTTGTAAATCTGAATGGTAAAAGGGTCTCATTTTGTAATTGAAGTCTGAAATCTGGATGACATTAAAAGCTGTAACCTCTGTAATTTACAGCACTGTTTTGTACTTGAACAGCAATTTATAGTTTTGCTATGAATAAATTGCCCGAGGGAGAGAACCTACACGAAGAAGACGAGCTCTGCAGAGAAGGAAGGAAATGGAGCTCATCATCATACTTCAGTAAAATGGGTTTTCTCATTCATATTTGAAACTGAGCCTTCCCACAGTTCTTCTAGTTCATTTCTCATCCAGGAAATCACAATGATGGGTCCCAGGGTTGACGGTACCTGCATTCCTCGGACATGGTTTATAGCCAAACAAGGATTGTATGGAATGCCAATTCCATAATAGAAAGATATTATGAAGTTCAAAGTTTTGTCCCAAAATAAATGGTGTTTGACAAAAATGCACACGTATTTAAGAGATGTTTTGGAATTGAAATAAGTTTTGTCCCAAAATAATTGACGTTTGACAAAACTGCATATACATAAAGGAGCTTTTTAAAAAATAGAATGATTCAGTAGTAACATTAAATAATGTTTGTTTTCTTTTTCAATAATCAATACTCAGTTTCAATACTCGTAATTCTATTAATAAGCAGGAGTAGGTTACTTATTTGGCTGAAGTGTAATGTTACCTGTTGAATATAAGAGAAGAATACGCTCATATGTAATTATGTATACGAGCCTTGGTAAAAATGAAATACATCTATTGCTTGTTACAAAGAGAAAGTTAAACCATGAGGTAATAAATGAGATTCATGATGATGCAAGTTATGAGCTAATGAATGACTCAATGACATCCATGATGATGTCTTAATTCTAGATGACTTTTAATCTAAAAGGAGTTATTTTTTATTTTAAAAAAGATGCTAAAACAAAAATTACAAAGAGGCTTCTTTTTTGGATAAAACAACAAATATTTTGGGACGGAGAATGCATCATTTAACAATTAACACTTCAAAAAAGTATTATGAACATACCAAGTATAGAAGAGCTGGTTGAGGTGAGTGTGTCAAGATACCAGCAGCCAATGCAGTAACAAGTCCAATCGAATACCCAGTTAGAGCATACCATATGTACTTGAAACCTTTTGAGGATGATGTATCGCCCTTAGAAGGGGACACGACCAAGTCATTCACGGACTCCCTTCCCTTTCTATGGTCATAACAAAGAACCAATGCTAAGAGCATGGAGGGGACTGCCTGAAAGACCGAAAGCATGGAATGATTCACTCTTTAGATAGTAGTATGAAATACACAGTTACATTACACATATATTGCACAATGAATGAGTAACTAGGGTGCTGATTGCTCGCGAGAAAATATAGAAAACATTTTCTGGAGTTCTGTCTTTGGCACAAGAATTTTTTTAGAAAAACATTTTCCATAGATCTTTATGGGATAGTCATTTACTGGGAAGACATTTTTCCTGCAACAGACTGGCACTATACGTGCTTATTTAAAAAAATAGAGGTGATAGAGTATACCATGTCTCCAAGACCCAACATCATGAAGTCAGAAGCAGCATTTCCTGGAACTAGACTGCCAAACAGATTCCTGGGAAAAACAATTTTGACAGGCAATTCAAGTTTCTTTGTAATCAACTGCAACCCGGGAAGACTCAAGCTATTAGCCACCGTGTGTACAGGATTCGAAGCTTGTTGTGTTGCCACAGAAACCATCACATTTGCTCCAAAAAACCTCTCAGAAAAAAACACCCAAAATATGTCATACACAAACAGACAAACCAAGAGCACTGCACATATCTTGATGTTAGGAAGGCGGACATGGCTGACAAAAGCAATACAAAGAGAAATACCCAACAAGTTGTTCAAAATCCAATTCCCGGAGACAAGCCAGGCTAAAACCGTGCCAACACACATCACAGTCAGGAATACTTGGATCCGGGTAAATGATTTAGAACAACATTTGGATAAGTAAGGATCGGATAGTCCAAACGAGGACCTAATTTGAGCAACGTAAGGTGACAGGCAGAAGTAGAGTGATGTGGCTGAAGCAATTGCAGTAAAAGCCGTGAGAAGTTGCGCCATGGAAGAGAACAAATAGAACATCATAAGCAAGCTGCAAGAGCTCATTATGGGGATCATTAGCGCCTGCGATCTGTCTAGAGTGATTGATGCTTCTGATAAATCACGGTTCCGTTCCATTTCCTTTCCATAGTTTAGAGCTCGAAATGCAGAAGCATACGAGACGAGTATTGCAGTCAAAATGAGAGAGACCGAAGCTGGCTCAAGCAAATATATTAGCTTCCATAGAGACTCCATCTTCAACAAACCTAACAGTCTTTCTTTTCCCTATTTGTCCCTAGCTTGAGTTTGGGTATCTAATCTCTCACTCGTCCCTACTCCGGTATTATAATATTTTGCAAGTCCAAGGCTGCAAATACTACGTCTTTCCTTCAAATGTTATGCAGCACAATTTAGGCCCTCTTAGCATATCCAAGAGACAAACAGCCTGAAAATTTCGAATTCAAATCTTATATGCAATTGTATGAGAACTTGCCAGCCAAGTAAAAATTGTGTATTTACAGTTTACACAAATCCATGAACAATGAACATAAGCTATAATCATCTAACTAAGCAAATCTCCCCCAAGACAAGCATCATCAACCAAAGAAAACAAATCTATGATCCAGATTCCAGAACAAAACACACGGTTTGTTTTATTATTATTATTATTATTATTATTATTATTATTATTATTATTATTATTATTATTATTATTATTATTATTCTTGCTGCTAATGATTAGTTCTTTCTTGTTCTAGAAATTGATTGGTGGGTTTCAGTTGATCAGTTCGAATTTGGATCGAAACTGAATCAAACGAAACTGAAACGATCGTGATTTTGAATTCAAAGGAAACCAATTCATAATAAGTAAAGCACTGATGAATCTAAACAAGAAAAGGTGAAATCGATATGAGGCTATGAACGCGAGGCTCGATCTTGAAGAAAGAAGCTGAACTGACTAACCTTGGACTTAGATGGATTGAATGAACGAGGGAGGACTGGAGGGCCTACTGCTCGCAGTACATGACGGTGGTGAAATGAGTCGGATTTTTATCGAGGATGGTCTTTGAGGTTGGGACAATCTAGGAGGACTAGCCTCAATTCAATCATAAATTATCTAAATCCCAATTGGAAAAAAATTGTCCATACTCAATCTAAATTCATATCGGGTTTGAATCTTGAAACATACAACTCGACTCGAAACTCCACCCTAATACGTGCATAATGATTTTTCAATATTAAAAAAAAGTGAAATATTTGCATTAAATAACACTAAAACTTAAGTTATTTCTCTAAATAGTATTTAAACTGTTTTATTTTTTAAATAGTACTTAATAATGTCTATAATGTCCAGTAATGTCAAATATTTACTTGAATAATGACTAATGCATAATGACTAAAAATGCTACATTGAGAAGAAAAATACATTGATGCTTTTTAAGGAAATTCATTATGTTTTATTGCTATTAAAGTAAATTACTCTTAAAAAAAGAGTGAAACAATAAGTTGAAGTTATTCCGCACTATTCTTGCTACGGGCGTTGCTTTTTTAAGGCAAGTTGTGCCTTTTTTTCTTTGCACCTTTGCTCAAGCTTCTCCGTTCTGGCTTTTTCTTTAACCCGAAGCCTCTTTGCTTGCATTATCGCAAAGGCAGACGCTGAATTGGTGAGATGTTCAAACCCTTGAAGCAAGGGTTCGGGTTCGGGCACCATGCGCGACGACCCTTCTCTTTTCCACGCATGATTCCTTCTAATGGGCCGTTCCGGCTCCGGTGGTGTAGGTATGTCGGTATTATCGTCACCCATACTCAGCATCCAACGCGCATCGGACATGTCGGAACTGGACTATAGTCGCCGGATTCTGACGTCTTGCTCAGCTTCGTCTCGGCTACCTCGTTTGGAACCGGCGGCCACTTAGAACATTCAGGGAAGATGTTCCACGCTCTAAGATGCGGAAATGAATAAGAAAATTACGTTTGAAACTTTACAAGCGCTTGCTGCAACACGTCTTGATCACTTGAACCGCTCACACGATTCACATAAATATTGTTGTAGACACAGATAAATTTTTGAATTTTTTATTCATATCGCTGTACTTGAAAGATATAGAGTGATCGAGGCAGTACGGCTCTAATGCGTGCATTACACACAAATATATATAAAAATCTTTAAAAAAACACTATAACTCAAAGGAGTGGATGAGAAATGTGTAAAAAATATGAGTTGAGTGTTGTGTTTAAATAATGAAAATTTTAAGAGTTTTTTAATTCTCCAGCGGTTAGCTTTAAAAAAAATTAAAATCCAAACATTTGGCAACGGAAAAAAAGGCAGGGTAACCAGCCTCTTTCCGTTCCCGCTTCTTCCCGTCGCCTCTTCTCGTGGGCGTACAACACGGCCTAAGATAGATTATGGATCAGGGAAGGAATGTGGTGGGGGCAGGGGATTAGGATTTAGGAGTATGAATCATCAATTTTTTTTTAATGAAACACCGTAAAATTCTGAATCATCATATGACATTAATGATCAGTGTGACATGATATGCTATAAGTTTTGAAATACGAGAGTCATATAATTCTGAAATTTAAAATAAAATTATTTGAATAGATTTGAAATAACGATTTAATTAGTAATTTGGGGAGCAAGGAGTAATGTTTTTATTTCTTTCAATATTTTTTTTGAACCTACCATTTTTTTCTCCTTAAATTCTCCCAACCAAATACGGAGTAAAGAAACTCAAAGAATGAAAAGAGGAAGAAAAACGCTCACAAGTTCCAAGTTTCAAACATTTCAGACCCAACGGTTTCGCGTTTTCTTCGCTCTCTCTCTCTCTCTCTCTCTCTCTCTCTCTCTCTGGGAAAGCCTTCCCCTCCTCGGCCCCCAGCTAATTAGCACTTGCACATTTTCTTCACTCTATCGGAAAGCATTTTCCGACTATAATCCTTGAACATAATCTGAGCAGAATTCAGTTCGTCGGAATCCGGATTAGGCGCTGGGACGATGTGTACCGATGCCTTAGTGACGTTTGGCTTCGTTCTGCTGTTGCTTCTGCTCACGCCGTCATCAGCTGCGGCGGCGGTGGAGGATCGGCTTCTGGTGAACATGACGCTGGTTCAGAACGCCTCCGATTTTGGAGCGTGTATGCACAGTAACGTTTTTTTTAAATATCGATTTTATTTTAATTCTCAAATTATGATTTCAATTATTGATTGAATTGGTGCGTGTTCTCTACGCAACGCATCGATTTAGATTGCTTGGACGGAAGTTTGCCGGCGTATCACCTTCACAGAGGATTCGGCGCCGGATCTCGGAATTGGCTTCTGCAATTTGAGGTAACTCTTGTTTAATTGGTACTTCGTAGCTAGTATCGATTAGTTAGGTGGGGTGACTAGATTTGTCAGAATTTTTAAGCACCAATGAGATTGTATTCATTAGCAACAATTATTATTGAATAATGATTTACGAATGACTTTACGAATGCGATTATTAACACCAAATGTTAGATAGTGACTAATTCTTCAATGACTATTTAAATTGTTTTTGATAATGTATTATTTTACTTGAATTATGTAACATGTCATTTTTCTCAAAGTCAGGTCATTTTAGAATTTTCCATTACCAATGGATTAGACTCTTCCTATATGAAGAAAAGTGATAGGTTTAAGTCTCAAATCCAATAATTAGAAAGCTGAATGCAGTTTGTGTTTCTTCTAATTAATATCTAAAGTCAGTCTCTTCAATCTTCAAATTGCATGACAAATTGGCAGATGCCTTATGTAAGAGCATACAATAAGATTTAATTACTTTATTTGGTAAACTAAAGGGTTTGGAATTATCGAAAATACACAAAAAGCTTGGTTGGTGTAGAAATCATTTCGTCTCGGATAAAAAATGTTCGAAATTTGACTTTCATGGCCTGTGGGTCTGAATAATACAGATGAGAGTTCAAAATATAATTGCATTTTTTTATTATTTTAATAAAAGAAGCTTGACATAAAATACTCTGTAAATTGTGGATCTGTTATGACAACAGGGTGGTGGGTGGTGCAACGACATCAAAACATGTTTGGATAGATCTGCAAGTAGGCGGGGATCAACAACTTATATGAACAAGTGGGAGGTATTTTCTGGCATTCTCAGTAACAATGCCTCTCTAAACCCTGGTATGCCCATTATATTGCCCATCCATTGCCCTCACCCACTATACTATAGGGATGGACACGATACAGCAGGGGCAGATCTACTCCCAAACAATTGGGGGCAAATGCCCCCAACTAAATTTTGGTGTTAAACTAATAATTTTTTTAAAAACAAAAAATTACTCCTTCCGTCCCTAAATAAACTTCCATTTTTGACTTTTTGAGGATTTAAGGGAGGGATATTTTTGTGTTGACTTTCTAAAAATACCCTTGATGTGATGTGTAAAAGTAAGATATGATAGGTAGATTATTACTCCGTAGTAAAAAGGTATGATGTGATAAGTAGGGTATGAAAAAGTAAGGGGTAAAATAGGTTTTTTAAGGAAAAAGAGAAGTTTATTTGGGGACAAAGAAAAAACGAAAGGGGAAGTTTATTTAGGGACGGAGGGAGTATTATATTTTAGACTGCATGCCCTCATCTAAAATTGGGATTGACCCCATCTCACATTATTTACTCCCTACAAAAATGAATGGAACCTTATTTAATTAAGCTAACTTTTAATTTTTTGTTTAATCTTTTTGAAGTAAAGTGTATTTTATTGCATTTAATTTATTTTTTAAAATAAAATTTTACATTACTGATTAAATACAATTTTACCTTCAATAAATGTTTAAAATAAAATTTACTCCGTATTATTTTTGTCATTTCAAATTGTCTTTTTTAATAAAAAAATCAAGGGTGCTGCCCAGATCAATTGTGCCCCCATCTACCAGAATTTCTGGATCCGCCACTGGTTCCGGGACGGTTTCGGTTCTAGAATCGCCGGTTCCGGTACCGCCACCCCTTAATACCGGTACCGTGACCGGACCGGACGGTACCGGTTTTGGTACCCGGACCGGCCGGTTTTGGCAACCTCCTATTTTTTTTGCTTTTTGTTTTAAATCATATGGGAAATTCTTGTTGTGTTTGTTAAACACTTAAACCAAGAAGGATGAAAATATATGTACACGAATTCCTACAAGTCAGGTTCCGCATAAGGCAAGAATATAAATTAATTATACTACTACCATATTTACAAAGTGAAAGGCTAAATATATGCTAAATCAATGGTTTCCTTGTATGCATAGCTTGCCTTCCGTAGATAAATGCTAAGTCAAAGGTTTCCATATATGCATATCCGTAACATAAAAAGGGTACCCGAAATTGATCAATATAATGGTAAAAGCAAAAAAAAAATACAAAAGGTACCGGAACTGGTACCGGTACCTTAAATACTGGCACCGGAACCGGTATCGTGGGGGGCGGTTCCGGTACCGGTTCCCTAGAACCAGAGAGACGTGAGGCCGCCGGTGACGGTAGCGGTACCGGCGGTACTATTGCCGGTAATTGTATTGTACTAGTACCGTGTCCAGGCCTACTATACTATCGTTATCCAATACTTTTCAATCTTCAGTACAACACTTTGATAAAATTAATTAAACATATACTTCCTCCGTCCCCAATTTGATTACAAATTGCGGGTTACGGAGTAAAATTTCATACTTTTTGAAATCATGTTATTTACAAATTGGTATATCAATAAGATATAAAAATTACATATTAAAAAACTACGTCAAAAGTTCTATAAAATAAGAGGTGACAAGAATATTTTATTTTATCAAATACTTAATGAAATCGCGTAAACAAACAAAAGTTATCGTAAGAAAAGAGAAAAAAAATATACGCAGTAATCTATTTAAGAACGTATGAAATATTTAACTATATTACATACTCCGTACTCCGTAAAAGCTAATTAAGAGATGACACTCTTTCTGTTTTATACAAACCATATATCCATTTTGCTTTTGGGTTGTTTGTCTTTTAACCTACCCGAGTATAATATCTCTTCAAAAAATTGCTCGGCATAAAAAGATATTACTCAGTATAAAAAGACATATCAATATAAACAT